CTTTATCCCAATTTTATACAGATGTGAAAACACGAAAATTTGTACCACTTCGATTAAAACTAGAGACATAAAATATAAAAGTGTAATTCTTTATTGTACTGCCATTATCGACTCCTGGGAACTGTACGAATGCACATGATTAATAAACAGTGTACAGGAGGGTTCATAAATAGATTGAACACCTGTATTTCACACTTCGTCATAATTACTTCTTGGGAGTGTTTAATGTCTTTATTAGTTCCTTCATAGTTACATTATTCCTTAAATTCTTATACATTAACAGATTCAAAACTATTCTGACGTAATGAATCCTTTAGTTCGAGTGCACTTAGCAGGACTCGAGGCCTGTACATCAGAGGACAACATATCGCGGAAGGTAGAGCTACGAAGACATCTATGCTGATTATCGCAGACTGCGAAAGGCCAAGATATCAGGAAAACTGGTAACACCCCCCCGTGGTTCAAGTTCTGGTGAAGACAATGCCCCTGATGCTTAACTAAGCAACACGCTACGAACAAGTATGGATAAGTTACAGCGCCATTGCACGAGAAGTAGGTAGTGCTCAGCTTCACGTCCCGGCCGCATTACCCCCAAAAAAGAAATTCGTTTACCGAAATTAATTTTATATTAATTTAAAAACAGTATTTAGATTCAGTGAGCTGACATCTATACATAAATAATAATAAAGGGTAAATATGATATGAGTTGGACATGTAGCACGCATGTGTAGATGAGAAATGTATATAAGGTTACAGTCAGGGAACTTGAAGACATGGGTACAAATCGGAGGATAATATTAAACTGGAACTTAAAGATGTTGAGAGGCCATGGACTGGATTCGGGGACACAGGAAGAAGTTAAGTTGCGTGTTTTGCGAGGAAAATTATGGACGTCCGAGTTCTATAGAAGGCGGTGAAAATCTGAGTGTCACAGCACGCACAAAGTGTATGTATTTATCACATTTAACAGTAAATCATTTGAAATACGCAGTAGGAATTGAAATAAACAAAACTTATTGTGGAAAAAAAGAAGACGAAACGACGCAATTCAATTCTGACCACGACAATAATTAATTAGGAAGGAGCCCGAGACATATACAGCATTTTGAGATCAGACTCATTAAAATGCCTAATGCTCTGAGTACAAAACGCAACAAGTAATGAGGAAACTCACTGCTCTGCAAAAAAAATAAATTATTCTTAAGAGTAATTTTTAAATACGAGGCGCGTCCTCAAAGTAAGTTTCCCACTCGTCCCACAGCTAGCAAACCTTATATTGCGCGAAGCGACTGTGCGTACGTGATAGAGCAATGACGTAGCATGGCGCATGCACTAACGGTACTTCCCGCGTTCTCACAGTAGCATCGTTGCAGCTGTTGAAGATGGAGGTTCTTATTCC